AGTGTTGAACCATGATTTATTGGCATTGCTTGAGAAAAAGTAGAAAATAAAGAAAAGATAGAAGCTAAAGAGAAGTAGCAATAAGGAAAATTTTTAATTAAATAACTCTTCATTGTTGTTTAAATGAATAAAGAGAAGAGAAGCTCCTTTCGTATCAAATCAAAGACAAGGCTCTGCCAAATAGCATGTTAATAATTATAGAAAGCAGTGATTATAGCTTGCTTAAATTATGTTGAAGTAAGTTGAGTTTTTTTCTTTTGATAAGAAAAGTAAAATGAGTGTAAAATGATATTCAATTACTTTATTTACGTAAAGTCAAATGATAGATTATCAGACGAAATATATTATTTTGAAATGAAATATTTATTTAGAGTATTGATAAATTTGAAATAAATTAAAATAATATTTTAAAATTTTAAAAATATTTTACCTTTCAACTAAAGTGACAAAAGGTACGTTACCGTTTTGTTTATAACCATATCTTTAGACCAGAACTGGTGGGCTGCTGTAAGTGGAAGACAGTACAAGTGGAAGTTAAAAAGGCCAGGCTTGGGCAGTCATTTTCTCCTACGGCCTTTTCTAATTGCTCGGTGTTTGTCAACAAGTCAAGCGCAGACGCTCACTCACTCAGATAAAATATAATACTTGAGATGATAAGAATAGTTGAACCAAGAAAAGACCGTAAACAGAATATTCCCTCTTTTTTATTAAAAAAATCATTTTCTCGGGGGCTAGTGAGACTTAATGGTTTCTTATGTCACTAAGATATCACGTAATACTATTCCTCCTTTTATTTTCTTTCTTTATTTTTTTATTCTTAAAATTATGTATTTTTTAAATACTTGATTTTTTTTTGTTATATTCTGATAATATGATAAATGAATCCGAAAATTTAGTGTAATATGCCAGGTATTGCTCAATTTATTTTATAATGATCACTTTCTAAATTGAAATCAATATTTTTATTTCGTTGTTTTTGAATTTCACGAATTGTATATCACAATCCTTTTGAAATGGTTATTATAATTTATTTTTTAGAGTTCTAAAAGTTTATACTTATGGCTATGATCACTAACAACAAAAAAAAAAAAATAATTATTTTGTACTCATTTAACGTTTCGAGAATTTTAGTTAAATTCATTCAATTTTAGATTTTAATATTTTAATTATTAATTTTATAAATATTATTATTTTAATCACTTATCATTTTAAAAAATTACAAACCTTTTATTTCATGTCAGATGCTCCGTCACTAGTCATATTCAAGATCATGAAAATATGTTATCTTTTATAATCAAGTGAATAAAATTATAATATTTGTAAATATTGATGATTAAAATAGTATTTTTTAATATGAAACAATTAAAGTAGAAAATTTTGAAAACTTAAGTGACCGAAAAAATAAAATACTAAAAAAAAATGATCTAATCACCTCTTAATGATGTCATTAACGTATATTTGCAATAGTTATAAAATTTTAAAAAATGAAAATCATTGGAGAAGAAAGTTCATCATTCAACGAAAACGAGGTCCACTGCTCTGAATCTTTGCAATGCTTTTTCCAAGAACTTGCCTTTTACCTGGAATATTGGAGCTTCTTAGAAGTTAGGAAAATCAAGGTTTTGTCAAACAAGAAGATACCCATTACAGTCATATGATGAACATTAGTAATTTGGATGGAAAATCACTCCTTTTCCTTGATGTTCCCTTATGCCAGAAGCCTAGAACAACCATTTTGCCTTTCTTTTTCATCTCTTGGTCCAAAATAAAAAGAAAATTACATCGAAATATTTATTCATTTATTTATTCCAAATGATCAAGACTAACGGGAAGTTGCTTGGAACTTTTGCTCGGTTGAGCTGTAACTTCAGAATCCTAATCCATTCGCATAGTTGAAGTTAAAGAATACTCAAGGTAGTTAATTCACTCAAGCCTTTCTTAAACTGATCAGGGCCTTCTTTTTCTTAGTCAATTCCTCTTCTACTTCCTTTATTCTAATTTCTTACTCAACATATTTCTACAGCTTTTCAAATAATAATAATAGTACAAGGTTTTTTTACTATTTAAACTTTTGTCAAATAAAGATTCCTCTATCTTTTTGAACTCATTTCCAGAGTAATATATCATCTTTATTCTAATGACATATTACCATAATTTGAGGGGTTTCAAATTTTGAAAACTAGAAAAGCTCATAGAATAGAAGTCAATTACTCCGTCAGAAATGGTGAAGAAGACCAAGCTTAGGTATGGGAGAAATGTCAGAATATTTCTCATTAAGGTAAATACTTTACATCAGGGTATATATATCTATACAGGTAGTTTAACAGAAAAGAGTAAAGTTAACTTCCTAACTAACTAATAATTATCAGCTAACTAATTTTTAAATACAAGTGAAACGGTGAATTTTGTATGCTATTCTAAGAGTATGCAAAGCCTTGTTCAAACGGTGCACTTTGAGCCCTTGTTTGTCTTTTTTCTTCACTGTCGAGTATCCTGGCTTCATAGTCATGTATTTGTGTTTCTCTTGAACACTCATATGCACCCTTTATTCATCAATTTCATCTCTGATATACTCCATGTTCTCTTCCCCCAAGCTATTGAGATACTGATATGTCGTTAATTGAAAAAGGTATGGTTTCCAACCATGCCCAAAAGCTAGCCAAAACCCCGTCACCTTGGTAATTGTTATGCACTTGCTTCGATAAAAAAAGGCTACAAGACTTTATTATAATGAATTTTTGTTTTTCTTTTTTACATAAAGAGATTAATTAGGTCTTGAGGTATAAAGTTGGCATTGTCAACAGAGTCAAATTAAGGTAAATTGTTGCATATAAATCTAAAACAAAATACAAACCAGGGACAAGAACAAGATACGTTAGAGAATTAACTACATCAAGTAATCCGCTTCTCTGTTTGGAGCTGAGTTCTTTCCTCTTTTGCCCCTTTGAGGAGTCATCTGATGCTTTCTGTGGTGGTGCCGCCTCGGGTGTTTCTATCTGTTCTCTAGTTCTGAACTAATCATCTGACTACCCCTATAGTGGACCACTGCTGATGGTGAATGTGGAGGGCTGCCGCAACTCCTTTGCTTCTTTTTTTTTTCTGTGTTACAGATTAGTTTTGTGGTCTTTGGGGTTCCACTGGGTGGGTTCTTACTTTCCTATTTGTGGCTTGTGAGACTTTTCATTACTCTCACCAGGTGAATATTTCTTTTATGTTGGAGACCATCTCTCTTTTTAACTGATCTTTTCCTGATTAGCTCCCAAAAAAATTTCACCTTGAGAGAAGAGGAAAAAAGGGGGAGCAGCCTCAATTACTCAACCTGAAAAGACCACCAATAAAACATCTTTTCTATTTCTTATCAACACAAAACCAGATCGAGAAAGTTGGAGGTATTAATTCTTATCAATGGATGGGGTTTATAATGGGTGTGTCCTAACTTCATGGAAACACTTATAAAGTATTGGGATGAATGTCTTTGGTGGGGGATATCTAGGAAGAGTGGAATGTGGTTTTTGAGGTTACCCTTTAGTTCATTTTACTTGCTCGCGATGATACAATTTTCAATGACAAAGCTTGGGATGAGAGAAAAATTTTGTTTTTAATCAAGATGAGATCTTTGTCTTGGGCGAAAAAGATGTGAGGGTAGTAAGGAGATTGATAATATTGGATGGTGAGTGACATCATGGAAGTGTAGAAAGAATGCACAAGTTGGTAGCCTACAGATCGACGTGGATGAATCCTTAAGAGGAAAAACCAATTCGATGGGATGTGGGGGAGCAATCCCTGACCATAATGGTAAGGCGCTAAGGTTATGGGTTTATTTTTTTTTTTTGGACCATTAGGAGTACAAGACTCTAATTTTGTTGAGCTAATAACGACAGTTAAAAATGCTATGACAATATGTTTTCCTCCTCTTCATGGATGGCTGTTAAACATTTGATGATTGAGTCCGATTCAAAAGTTGGAATGTCATAGATATGCAATGAATTATTGAGACCATGACACCTACTGAATGTCTTAAATGACATTGATTTACTATAGAGGCATATTGGAGATATCAAATTTTGCCATACATCTAAGACTCACTGGCGAAATTTGGTTTGAAAATGTAGACATGTTTTTTGCTTAGTGGTAATAATGTGAGTGGAAGGAGTTAAAACCGTTTAATTGTTAGTATGGATATGTAAGTTAGTTAATTGAGTTAGGCGTTTGTTGATTTATTCTTACATTTATTCCCCTGGTTTACCAGTGAAATGTATCCTGTTTATCATGACTATAATAAAAACTTTTATTAGCCAAGAAAAAAAAAAACTCGCTTGACTTATTTGATTAAATGATTATATATTGGAATTTTGTTTTCGTTTTGCCCATCTTTTAAAGTAGAGAATGATTGAAGCTCGGGTTCTCTTTTGGTGCTTGAAAGGCTGCCCGATGCTTTTAGGATATTTCACTCACTCTAGCTAAGGATACTTGTCTATTTGATAACTATTTTTGTGTTTTACGTGGCAAAGTTGTGCGTGCTGGGTGCTAGTTTCTGTTCTCTAGCATTATATTTTCCTAGCATTGGTTAAGTCTTAAGCTTTGCTCTTTTGGTGTGAAGCGTCCATTTTTGTTATGGCTGCCAGGTTCTCTGGACAATTGTTAAGGTTCTCTTTTCCTCATTTACCAACTATGCCAAGAGAGTCTTTAGTAGCAAGCTTAAGACTGGCATTGCGATGAGGTGATTAATACAATACTTTTCGAAAAAGAAAAGTAGAGAATGACTTTCTTTTGGGAAGAATATATGTTGGTTCCTAATTAAGCATGAGAATACTTTTATATTTGGTCCTCCAACTTCTTAAACTTGTAACTACATTAACACTATACATTAAATATTTCAATTCCCTGCCATTATGAATAATGGATATGAACTAAAATTGACACCTAAGATCAATGTGATTAAATTTGTTGCCTCCGACAATATAAAAATTTACTAGTAAAAGAAATTTTTTTAAAAAAAAAGCACCATTCTCTCCTTTTTTTTCTTTTTCAAAGTAAATATACAAATAAAGTAGAACTAGATACAATTATTTAAAAAAAGAAAAGCTCCTAAGAGATTACAACATGGATTTTGTCACACATTAGAAAACCGATAATAAAAAAAACAAATAAAGGTGCCTGTCATCAAGCTAAATGATCTTTAAACATGGTGAGAGTAACAAATTTGTTTGAAATGAGATTAAACTGTGATGGCATAGAATCAGTTAAAATTTCTCCCAACTCTAGTTGTTTTGTCTTCGGACAAAATTCCGTTCTCAGCTCCAGCTGCGGCCTTGTCCTTGGACAAAATTTCACTCTCAACTCCAGCTGCGGCCTCGTCTTTGGACAAAATTCCGTTCTCAACTCCAGCTACAACCTCGTCCTTGGACAAAATTTCATTCTCAACTCCAGTTGCTGCCTCACCGTTGGATAAAATTCCATCCAGTTCCTTAACAAAGCTTTCCATTACTGGGGCTGGCAAGCAAACTGGCACCACAATCCCACCCTCTCCTTCCTTGTTCTTGGATGGTATATAAAAGCTTATTATATCCCCACCATAGGCTGGTCCACCAAACTCTGCCTCACCCCATCCAAAATCAACCTCTCTGAACTTGGCACGTGTTAAATCTGACCCCAAGAAGGACCGAACTGTGTTAACATTTGGCCGACCTCTTATCACCATCAAATCAGCCGTCGATTTCATGTACTCTTCCGTTATCTTTGCCTTGGCCTGTCTCACTAGCTCTATTGCGTATTCCATTGGATTTTGGCATAGTTGTCCTGCAGTCGTTAGAGCCGCTGGGTAACCGAGTGCATTCCCGTAAAATCCTGACGGTAACGGAGGATTAAACTTGGACCGTACATTGACAATGCAGATGAAGCGAACATCGTCGTTAGGGCCAAGTTTCAAGGCTTTCGTACGACAACGCCATAAGCATGCAGTTACGATATCGAACGTTGAACAACGGAGGTTGTGAGGGACAAATCTACGAAGAGCTGAAATTTGAGTTGGTCCAAAGAAAAAAGAGCGATGAAGCAGGTTGTCTGGCATTTTTATGCCATTTGTGATAGTGGCATTGTCGTACTCGTCATGAACACATGTTATGAGTGGTGAGTGTCGAGCATTCAAGAGGTGCCTTTCCCAAACCGGTGGGGTTGAGGGAGCAAGTGCACCTCGTGCCATTTCCCCCATGGCACACATGAATTGGATTAGCCCAACCGCGTCACTCATGGTGTGGTTAAACCGGTGGGCGAAGATGAAACCACCACATTTCAAGCTAGTCACCTGTTTAACCAAAGTCACTTTAATCTTTTATATTTTTCGTAGAATATATATATATATGAGAGAGTACTTTTGCTCTTTTTTTTGTTTGAAATTTATTTATAAGTATCCTGGAAACATATGTTATTACATTTAAATTTTAAAGCTTTTATTATAATATAAATTTAAATTGATGCTCGCTAAATATAAATCTTCGTTTTTGAGTTTATATATGTTAAAATCATTCGTTAAAAAACTTAACTTAAAATATTAAATACATAATTAACTTAGTTACTATTTAGAGAGTTTTTAATGATATCTAATAAGTGATCACAATAATAATAAAAGTTCACGTCTACATGTGACGAAATTTCATTTAACTTACTTCTCAATCCTTGTATGAAATTAAATGAAAATTATATCTTAATTTGAATATAGTTAATAAAAGGTCGAATCTTGAAATTAGAATAAATATATATTTACTTTATAAAATGTATACCTGAATTTGCAGCAATGGGCAATTTAGTATTTCATTGGAACCAGGGACCTCATAAAGAAGCTCCTTATAGCATGGGAATGGTGGGTGAAGTGAATCACCAAATTGATCAAGTGTAACATCAGCATCAGCCTGAACAAACAGCACACCTTCTCCGGTGCAATCCACCACAAGCTTGCGGTTTGGCCCTTCCCTTAGTCTACCAGCATATGGATAGTAAAACACTAGGGTTTTCGCAAGTGCCTCCTTTATAATACAAGCGGGGTCCTTCCCTTGCATGGAGGGTTTGAACCGATAAAAATGGATCCCTCGAATTTGGAACCGGTGACCCTCTTGGTCATCGATGTCCGACAGTAATTTAGACTCACGAGGGGTAGGCTTAGCCGGGACGACTAGCTCGGGTTCATGCCTTCGGACTGTAAACACTAGAGAAGTGGGTGGTAGCAGTGCCATGACTAGAAATAATGAAAAGGCTGAATGAGAAGATTTAATGGAGGCTTTTCCTTCGTATTTCAATCACTATGTTGTTCTCGTCTTTATAGGCGAATTTTTATTTTAATTTTTGTTGCTCAGCCATTTGTCGGTGAACAATTACAATAAGATTTATGAAATATATATGAACGTGTCTTAATTAGATCTGGAGAATCATTTGCCACCAAGTGTTATACGGACCACCTAATAAACTGGATAAAATGAATGTCGAGTCTAGTCGATAGACAAGGCATATGTAGAAAAACGTTAATCTGTCACCTTCCCAAAAAAAGAAAAAAATTACAAAAAGTTAAATTTAGTCGGACAAGGTCCCACAGTAAATGAAAAGAAAGATTAATCTGTTGCGTTCCAATAATCCCTTTGATAAGTAGTAATTGGAATTAACTAGTTATTCGTGTGAAATTCATCAACTATTGGATAATTTAAATTAAGAGTAAAATATCTCAAGCCCTTTAAGTATTACATTAATTCATTTCATATTCAATACTCAAAATAAACATATTGTACGAGGCAGTACTAGGCTAAACATTATGCTTCCCCTACTGTCCGAAGTGGATCAAAGTCTCCTGCACCAATAATCCTTATAATAAAAGTGAGTAGAAAAAAAATTTTAACTTTTGAATTAAAATAACTAATATATCCTTCGATTTTATTCACCAAAATAATTAGTGTTGAACCGTGATTTATTGGCATTGCTTGAGCAGAAAGCAGAAAATAAAGAAGAGATAGAAGATAAAGAGAAGTAGCAATGAGGAAAATTTTTAATTAAATAACTCTTCATTGTTGTTTAAATGAAAAGAAAGAGAAGAAAAGCTGCTTTCCTAACAAATCCAAGACAAGGGTCTGCCAAATAACATGTTATTCTCAGTAATAATTATAGAAAGCAGCGATTATAGCTTGCTTACAGTATGTTTGAGTAAGTTGAGTTTTTTTTTTTTTATAAGAAAAGTAAAATGAGTATAAAATGATATTCAGTTATTTTACTTACGTAAAATCAAATGATAGATTAATAGTAAGATTTATGCATCTTATGAAACATATTATTTTAAAATGAAATATTTATTTTAAGTATTAATAAATTTGTAATTAATTAAAATAATATTTTAAAATTTTAGAGATATTTTACCTTTAAATTAAATTAACGGAAGGTCCTTTATCATTTCGTTTACAGCCATATATTAGACCAAAACTGGTTGGCCGCTGGAATTCAATGCACAAGCACATTTTCCTCCCTCTTTCAGGGCGTCCTCAAACGTCAGCGGAAGTCACTTTCTCAGTGACTGCACAACTGAAATGTTAAAAGGACCAGGCTTGGGAAATCATTTTCTCGACAGCCTTTTCTAATTGCTCTGCGTTTTGTCAACACGTCAATCGCAGACACTCACTTATACAGATAAAATATAATACTTGAGATGATAAGCATAGTTGAACCAAGAAAAGACCATAAACATAATATTCAACCTTTTTTATTAAAAAAATCATTTTCTTGGGGGCTGGTGAGACTCACTGGTTTCTTATGTCACTATGATATCACGTATTACTATTCCTCCTCTTATTTTCTTTCTTTATTTTTTAAATCTTAAAATTATGAATTTTTTAAATACTTGATTTTTCTTTTGTTATATCCTGATAATATGATGAATGAATCGCAAAATTTAGTGTAATATGTAGGTATTGCTCGATTGCCTCTATAATGATCACCTTCTAAATTGAAATCAATATTTTCATTTGAATTGCACGAATTGTATGTCACAATCCTTTTGGAAGGGTTATTACAATTAATTTTTTAGAGTTTCAAAAGTTTATACTTATGGCTATGATCATCAACAACAAAGAAAATATAAAAATAAAATTATTTTGTAATCATTTAACGTTTCGAGAATTTTAGTTAAATTTATTTAATTTTAAAATTTAAAATTTTAATTATTAATATTATAAATATTATTATTTTAGTCACTTATCATTTAAAAAAATAACAAATCTTTTATTTTTTCTATTAGTGATGACTATTTCAAATTGTAAGAAATAAAAAAAGAAGTTGATTAAACAAAAATACTTTTTTATAATTTAAAAATTACCTTATAAAAAATATTAAACTTGTTATAAATAAATATGTAAATGTCGAATATGTTATAATTCTAAAAGTGCAAACCAAGTCAAACAGCCCAATAGGTAAACTATAAGAAATGTAATATGATTTGAACTCGTAGATAAAATTAGTTAGGATTATGATTCAAGGGATTCTTGGTTTATAAATAGGTCTCTCACTTCATTTGTAAATACATACTTAAATAAAACCTTTTTACATCCTCTAAATACTTTTTCTCTCACTAAATACTTTCTCTTATAGTTGTTCTTTCAGATTTATTTCATAACATGTTATCAACATGATCCTCTTTGATCTCTCAAGTTTTGAAATTATTTTATTTTCATCATTTTCAAACTTCAAAAGGATTTCAATGATTTGATTTTGATTTATAGTTTTAGCAAATCAGGTAAGTGTTGCTATTATTTTGTTTTCATCATCTCCAAACTTTAAAAGAATTTCAATTGTTGGTCTTTAATTTTTGATTGTGACAAATCAAGTAAGTCACTTGATATCCTTTTAATATTTTCATTATCTAAAAATCAACCTTAATATGAATTTTGCTATCATATAATATATATTATATTCAGTCCCTTAATTGAAAAGTGAATTTTTTATTATATAGCTATTAATGAAAAATCATAATGTCCATTCCCTGAAGTGAATGTGACAAACGAGCTACTAATAAAAGAATTATAAATTTGCCCATTCTTTGAAGTAATGCGACGTTATTTAATAATTATGATCATGTTCATGAATCTATCTATACTCTGAAATGAATGCCACTTCATTTAATAATTTCGATCATGGATGTAGAAGAAGTCGTTATAATAATTTACACTATTATTATTTTAATTCTAAGAATAATTTTAATACCATGAAGTGGATGGATAATTTTACTATCAGATTCTAAAAATAATTTTATCATCAGAAGTGGATGAATAATTTTACTATCAAAATCTAAAAATAATTTTACCTTCAGAATCTAAGGATAATTTTTCCACCAAAAGTGGGTGGATAATTTACCACCAAAAATGGATGAATGTCATAACCTATTAAAAAATGAATAATCTACTAGAAGTGGATAAACCATCATATGTGGATCACTCATCAAAAATAGATGTATACTTATAACCTACCACAAGTAGATGAATACTTTGAACGCACCAAAAGGGGATGTGTACCTTAACCCACTAACTTACTAGAAGTGGATAACTCATCAAGAAGTGGATGAATACTTGTAACCCAACATAAGTGGATAAATAATGAAAAAATAAAAATGAAAAGAATAAAAGGAACATAGAAAATGTATTGTCGTTAATGTGGCATGAAAACCATTGATTGCATACTTATTGTATGTGTTGAATTTTATCAAGCATCATTGAAAACTAAAACATCTTGTGATAATTATAATCATGGTCAAGTTCATATAGCACATCAAGATATTTATCCACCCTAAAAGAGGAATTGATTATATGATTGGTAACGGAAATATTCATTGTTGATTTTCTTGTCCTGAGAGAGGAATTGATCATTTAATTGATAATAGGAATATCCGATAATAAACTTAACAATTATTGGTATATTTTAATATAACTATATTATGAAGATGTTTTAATATGTTCTTATTATATTTTTAAATGATATATTCTTATTATGTATTTTAATTATATATATTGAATTATATATGTTTTTATTATATATTTAATGATATGTTCTTATTGTATATGTTTTATTTTATTGAAGAAAATATAGATATTCATCTTGTTGGATTTAAGATCAATGATGTAAATATACGTCTAGTAGAAATACACACTATATTTAAAGACAATAAATATTTTTTCTACTTAACAACGAATAAAAAATCAATATCAATTCAATATATGGTAGTACAAAATTAATTAAAGACTCAAAAAGAGCTAATATTTTACTATCTTGAGGAATAAAGTAATAAATGATGTATTATTTTCTATTAAGCCTCAAAAAAGTTTATTAAGTTTCAAAGATATTCGTCTAATAGATATCATATTGACACAAAAAATGAAAGAGATAATTAATATCTCTATATTATATCTATTATCTCAAGTAAAAAGCGTGTATTGGAAAATAAATTACTCACTCTGTTCTTTGAATTAAACTACAAAAATATTAGAAAGCCATAGTAAACTAGAAGTTTACTCATGATTTTAATATTTAGCATGACCGGTTGGACCATCCTGGACTAATAATAATACAAAAAAAATGATTGAAAATTTATATGATCATTCATTGAAAAACTAGAAGATTTTTCAATCTAATAAATTTTATGTGCTGCTTGCTCTGAAGATAAATAAATTATAAACTATCACCAGTTAAAGTTGAGATTGAATTCCCTACGTTTTTGAATAATATCTAGGGTTATATGTGGATTCATACATCCACCATGTGAACCATTTAAATATTTTACGATTTTAATCGATACATCGATTAGATGGTCACATGTGTGCTTATTATCAGTTTGTAATTTGGCATTTGCAACCATTCATTTGCAAGCACATTTTTCTAGTTATATAATTTAGATTATTTGTCTTGACAATGCTGGTAAATTTACATCTCAAGCCTTTAATATTGCATATTAGTTGGAATAACTATTGAACAATCTGTTGCTTATATTTATACACAAAATGGTCTAGCAAAATTATTTATTAAATACTTTTAACTAATTGCAAGGCTATTACCTTTGAAATTCAAACTCCCAATGTCTACTTAGGGGCATGCCATTTTGGATGTAGCTGCATTTGTATGCATCAGGCTAAACGAGTTATTATAAAGTCTCCTTATACAATTGGTTTATGGTTTTTATGGTCAGAAACTAAATATTTCTCATCCAAAAATTTTTGGATGCGTGGTATATGTTTCAATTATTCCACCACAATGTACAAAAATGGGTCCTCAAAGT